GAGTGGGGTGGAAGTTATGGGGTGTGGGGTGGCACTTGTGGGGTGGAAAGTGGCACTTGTGGGGCAGGAGGTGGCGCTTATGAGGTGGGAAGTGGAAGTGGTACTTAGGGGGTGGGAGGTGGCACTTGTGGGGCGCAGGGTGGCACCTGTGATGCAGAAAGTAGCACTTGTGGGGCGCAGGGTGGCAGTTATGGGGTGCAGGCTGGCACTTATGGGGCAGGAGGTGGCACTTATGGGGCAGGAGGTGGCACTTATGGGGCATAGGGTGGCACCTCTGATGCAGGAAGTGGCACTTGTGGGGAAGCAGGTGGCACTTATGGGGCACAGGGAGGTAGTTATGGGGCAGGAGATGGCACTTGTGGGGTATAGGGTGGCAGTTATGGGGAAGGAGGTGGCACTTATGGGGCACAGGGTGGTAGTTATGGGGCGCAGGCTGGCACTTGTGGGGCATAGGGTGGCAGTTATGGGGAAGGAGGTGGCAATTGTGGGGCACGGGATGGCACTTATGGGGCACAGGGTGGCACTTGTGGGGCAGGAGGTGGCAGTTATGGGGAAAGAGGTGGCACTTGTGCACAGGATGGCACTTATGGGGCAGGAGGTGGCACTTATGGAGCACAGGGTGGCAGTTATGGGGAAGGAGGTGGCACTTGTGGGGCCCAGAGAGGCAGTTATGGGGCACAGGGTGGCACTTATGGGGCAGGAGGTCGCACTTGTGGGGCAAGAGGTGGCAGTTATGGGGAAGGAGATGGCACTTGTGGGGCGCAGGGTGGCACCTGTGATGCAGAAAGTGGCACTTGTGGGGTGCATGGTGGCATGTCTGATGCAGGAAGTGGCACTTGTGGGGCCCAGGGTGGCACTTATGGGGTGCATGGTGGCACTTGTGGGGCACAAGGTGGCACTTGTGGGGCCCAGGGTGGCACCTGTGGGGCACAAGGTGACACTTGTGGGGTGCAGGGTGGCACTTGTGGGGTGCAGGGTGGCACCTCTGATGCAGGAAATGGCACTTGTGGGGAAGCAGGGGGCACTTATGGGGTGTAGGGTGGCGCTTGTGCGGCCTAGGATGGCAGTTATGGGGCAGGAGATGGCACTTGTGGGGCACGGTTTGGCCCCTGTGGGGCAGGAAGTGGCACTTGTAGGGCACGGGGTGGCACTTATGGGGTGCAGGGTAGCACTTGTGGGGCATAGGGTGGCACTTATGGGGCAGGAGATGGAACTTATGGGGCAGGAGGTGGCACTTGTGGGGCATAGGGTGGCACTTGTGAGGCAGGAGGTGGTGGTGGCCTTCTGGCGCCGCCGTGCAGTGAGCACACGGCGCTGGGGGGTGGCTGAGTGGCGCTGGGTCGCATCTGTGGGGCGCTGTGTCGCATCTGTGGGGCGCTGTGTCGCATCTATGGGGCGCTGTGTCGCATCTGTGGGGCGCTGTGTCGCATCTGTGGGGCGCTGTGTTGCATCTGTGGGGCGCTGAGCTCCATCTATGGGGCGCTGTGTTGCATCTGTGGGGCGCTGAGCTGCATCTGTGGGGCGCTGAGCTCCATCTGTGGGGCGCTGGGTCACATCCGTGGGGCGCTCAGTCGCGTCTGTGGGGCGCTGAGCTCCATCTATGGGGCGCCGCCCCCCCCCCGTCGCCCCCCATGCGGTTCCGTGCGGGGGTTTCTCTGCACCGCCCGCCGCTGGGGGGCGGACTTTTCTTCCAGGGCCGCGGGTTCGAATCCCCGGGGGGGCGGCTGGGGGGCTCCTTCCCTTCCCCCTCCTCGGGGGGGGGCTCCGCATTTT